AAACTCGTGGCTCCAAGCTCTGGAGTTTCTGGAAACTGAACTGGAGCAAGTGTGCTGGAGACAGCACTGTATAAGGATAATATATGCGGCTCTGTAGTATTCGTCATGCTTCCTATGGTCTCTGGAGAAGACAGCTGTCATCCATAGGTCTGTCAGCTGAGCACCTCCTTTCTCTGCTGTAAAAATCACTCTGAGAACAGAAAACTGATTAGTTTTTCCACTATTCCTAGAGTTTCTCGGGCTTTGCGGAATTAGAAAAAAGCCCTTTCTGACAGCTATTCCAACATCACTCTTTCAGAGTAGCTTTAGCTGAGCAGGGAAGGATAGTCAAGATTTGAAAAAACATGCAAGAGGCTTGGCTTTGATTTGGTGAAATCTTGCTGCTCTCACGGGCTCTGTTAGGAGATTTGAAGAATGAAGCAAGGGAGGGTCACAAGATATGATGGAAAATGATCTGATGTGAGGTTGCCAACAGGTTTGAAATAACAGATCAGTGTTCAGTGGGCTTCTGTTATGATCTCAGAGGGAAAAAAAGAAGACAAAAAAATGAATAAGACTCTAAACCACTTAAACTGAGAGGAGAAAAAGGATATGTTATAATTAAGGGCCAATCGGACCCCTGGAGCTGAATAAAACGAAGGTGAGTAGATGAACAGATAAGACAACAAGCAATTAAACCCCTCCTTGATGACAGACTTGAGTTAACTGCTGAGGAAGAGTGAAAGATGGGGTTTATTTATTGAAAGTAATTTCATTTGGGGGACATGCATCTCTCCTCCTCTGTCTTTTCTACCACTTGACCTGCGTGTTGCAATGGTGGCCCCCATCCCTCTGTCAGCTCATCTCAACAAATCACCACCAGCCTCAGAACTGGGACTTGGGGAGTGTTTGCTGGCACGCTGGTCAGTGCAGCAGCCGCGTAAATAAAAGAATGAACAAATAACTGCATGGCTTACGCATGCTTTTTCTTCCCATACTGCTGCATGGGGTGCAAAGGCAGCTGGTGCTGTTTGCAGACTTAGAGACATCATCTCAGACATCTTGCAAGGAGTCGGTCAAGCAGGTGAGGATGGCAGGAGGAGGGAATTGGGTTAAGGTAACTTTACCCCCCCCCTTACTCAACATCAGCAAATGGCACATGTGCTTCTTGCGTGATGGGAGCTGTGTCCTTCCTCGCTCCAGACATAAAGTTGCACACACAGTTCCAGCAAATGAGTGTATAAACACAGCAGGAGACAGCTATAATGTGAAAATGGCTAGGTAGGTACCTACAGAGCCATTGTGCATTCAGTCCACTGTGCTAGCTGGGCAGACTGAATAATTATATGCATTGATACGGGGAACCACTATGCAGGCAGGCTTTTTCTTTAAATGCAGACCAATGGCTTCCTGTTTTGGAAATCTTGCCTTTTCAGTGCACAAATGCATAGTTTTGTATGCGCATAATTTGTGGCTGTAATTTTAGAGGCTCATTAAATAACTTGGCTGTGGAAATCAAATTGCCTTTCATCAAAATCCAGCAAGAGCTGAACTAGTTCTGTCCATCACAGCAGCCCTTCTGGTCTTCGTTATGTGGCTGAAAAGTACAAATGCAAATGGGGCTGCGGGTCCGTAGCACAGGAGGGAGAAACAGGGTGTTGAGAAGAGGGAATGAGGCTGGCAGCAGATTTTCAATAATGAGTTGGTCATCTGAGGAGGAATGAGGACTTTTCTGTTTTTCTGCCCAGGTAAGAAAGCTAAGGAAAGCCCTGAATGGTGGGTTTGCGTGGCACTTCTCAAAACCATCTGACACATACAGGAGCCCCATGGTGCCCCTCACTGCTCAGGGGACCTTCTGCCGTCAGTACTCAGCACATCCAAGTCTGGGATGTGGGGAGTGAAAGAAACCCTTCAGGTACCATTGTGCCAACACTTCCATTTTTGTTCACTACGAGGAACAGCAGTGGACTTTTCTGGCAGGAGGTACCAGGCTCGGTGCTGTTTCTGGGATTGTTCCATTCATACTGGAGAACACTATAACCTAACTAATTTACATGCTGATAAAGTCCAGATTTATTATCCATGTAACAGTGAGGGATGAGAATGAGAAACGAATGCCTGTGAAGACTTAGATGGGAAGAAGCAGATGCTCTTTGATGTTCGACAGCATTATCCAAAGTAGAGTGGAGATACATTTTTTTTTAATTTATTTTAATCATTATATAAAAGTATTAACATGCTGCTCCTTTTCAGTCGTATTCACAGTGATACGAAAAGAAGTATGAAAGAAGGGAAATCTGCCTTTTTGCTGCAGCAGAGCTGCTTGGTTTGTACCCCAAATTCTTGCAGCTGACCAAAAACTCAGGCATTTTCTGGGGCTTTATCTTTATTCTTCACCACTAGCAGCAACACAATCTCCTTCCCTCCAGCAACCTTTTGTAATGATGTTTACTTGGAGGAGAGGTTCAAAGACACATTGGGAAAGAAGGAAAAACAAGAAGTGATTTGTAAAGTTCCTATGCCTAAAAGAAAAGTTTAAAAAAGGGAGACAAATAAAGAGACAAGACAGATGCTGTTTCCTGTGGAAGGGGAGACGGCTCTTTGGCAGCTGATGAAGAAGAGGTGGGATTCCCCCTTCCTCTGATCCCTTCCATTTGGGGTTTCAGGTGTCTTCTTCAGAAACCCAAAGGTCACGCAGGGGACAACCCGCTCACCAGAAGGGCCATGGGGCTGCCAACGTGTCAGCCATTCAAAGACCGCTGACAGAGATAAGAATGCAGGAGAGGTGTAACTTAAGTGTCATCTTATTGCTACTAGGAGCTTAGACACACTTCAAAGGCAGGCGGCGAAGAAGCGGCCGCTCCGAGAGAAGGGAGCCAAACAGGCAGGCTTGAAAGCATGATTATGACTTATCGTATTCCACCATGAATGTGTGAAAACGGGCAGGAGGGACTCTCACACTGAAAGGTAAATGGCAATGATTTAAAGAGACGCTTTTCTTCTGGCAGTGACTGCCCTACAAGTAAATCTTTAAAAACCGGAGCAGCCTCCTGAAGGGAAGAAGATGCCCCGTCTTCCAAGGCATTGGCAGGCTGCTCTCTACTCTAGCCCCATGTGAAAACATTAAATGCAGCAAAGGAGGCAGCCAAGAGATATTCAAGATGGGAAGGAAATCACCAGAGTGCCTTCTTCCACCGATATCAATTGGTCTGGACAGAATAATTATTTCATGTTCCCCCAAAGAAACATTGCAGCTGATGGCATGATAGAGTGCAGGACAGGAAAACTTGTTCACATTGGTGGCAAGTCACTAGCCTTCAAATCAGAGGAGCAGTATCTCCTGTTATCACACTTAATCCTGTTATCACAACTCTTAATTTCTTCCTGTCTTTTCTTTTCCCTCCCTCATTTTTTTCCAGTGTGTGCCAAGTACACCCCTCAGCATCTACAGGCCAGCCCCTGGACTTTTCAAATAGCAAAGGAAGCAGAAATGACTCCAAGCTTTTATCTATGCTTTCAAAAGAATGCAAATCAGGAAACTCAACCTTAAAAGCTCAGGCTGGAAAGAGCATCCTCCCCATTGCAAAACATTTCACCTTTAATATATTCGAACCAGCCTATGAGACCATTTCTCTTGCCAAGACAACTTTTCCTCATTAACTGTTGGGTTCCAGGAACCTCTTGGCTTACTCTGAACTTTTCAGCACTGAAGCAGAATACTAATGTCCAGATCACATAGATGAGAAATTAAATCTCATTTCAATAGCTTCGTAGATGCTAAATGCTTGTAAGTGGGAAAACCCTCTGAAAGAAACACCCCTGTACCATGGATTTCTGAAGGCAACCTGCAAAGGGGAAATCCTCGTGAGAGCACGTATCTGTGCACGGGTTGAGTTTACACCTGCCCCTGCCACCCCATGGCTCCCAGTGGAAGCATAGTCCCATGTTAATTCTGACCACCATCAATTTTAATGTGTCTTCATGCTTTTGGCTGCGAACAGGGACTGCAATTCATAGTCCCTGAGATCTTATGGAGTGGAAATTAAATCTAGATGTGATTGCTAATGACTGTCCTGGAGCTTGGCATTATACTTGATTGCTGGTGATGGGAACAAGGTTGGACCTGGACTTCTCATTAGCTTGTGTTCATTTAAGAAAACAGACAGAAAATGCTCTTCCTATCAGGCTTGTAATGATGTATCCACGCTGGCATGTACATGTCATCTGACATCCACCCTCTATCCTATTACAAGAAGCAAGCGACGGGAGGAAGGAGTTGAACAAAATGATGCCTAAGACCTGATTTCTAACTCCATACCAAGATACTTCCATGAGTCAACTGAATTTCCCTACAGGCATTTAGGAGACATCTACACACTGATTTAGAAATACAGTTCCACAGAATCACAGAATTGTTTAGGTTGGAAAAGACCTTTAAGATTATCAGGTCCAACCGTTAAGCCAGCGCTGCCAAGTCCACCACTAAACCATGTCCTTCAACATCACATCTACACATCTTTTAAAAACCTCCAGGGATGGTGACTCAGCCATTGCCCCGGGCAGCCTGTTCCAATGTTTGACAACCCTTTTGGTGAAGAATTTTTTCCTAATATCCAATCTAAACCTCCCCTGGCGCAACTTCAGGCACTTTCCTCTTGTCCTATCGCTTATTACTTGGGAGAAGAGACCGACCCCCCACCTCACTAGAACCTTCTTCCAGGGAGTTGTAGAGAGCGATAAGGTCTCCCCTCAGCCTCCTGTTCTCCAGCATCCAGTCCTAAAAATTTTGAGCAAAGCTCCTCCATACCTCAGTTTCCCTACCTGCAAAAATGGGGCAACAAATAGAAATTGTTGGTGGGCAGGTGCCTTTGCTAAACGGCCAGGGTTTGCTCACGGTGCTCGGCAGGGATTTGTGTCACAGTGGCTGAAGTGTCCATTCTGTGGAGGAGGGAGACTTTGAAACGGGGCAGGGCAGGAAGCTGTGGGAAGCCTGAGTTTAATCCGCTCCGTCTGTGAGTCAGAGCCCTAAATCTTCACATCTTCCGAGGCTTTTGCGCTGTTGCCACGTTGGCTATGGCCAGCCAGCTTTCTGGTTTGCCCGACCGACTCTATGTCAAGGCCAGTTTTCATCTTTTTCACATGTACTAAGGGGATAAAAGTGGTTGGTGTTGCTTCATCCTTTCCCAGAGAGGTACAAGGGCACCCAGTGAGAGCAGGGCTGGCTGCATCTCTATTTCCATCTAGACAGCTCTTGTCGGGGAAAAGACAAAGAGAGAGTTTGTTTAAAGTGGAGCAACACATAAACAAAGTCCATGTAAGTAAGCTGGGAATAAAAATGCCAGCAGCCAGCTCACTCTCGCTCTCAAGAAGCCTTCACATTCGTCTCATTTTTTAATCTAATTTTGCAACTGTAAAAACGTGTTGGAAATGGGAATCTGGCAAAAGCTACAGGCTCAGCCCCTCAGATAGGGAGCTGAGAATGTCTGCAACGATTAGGCGTCTATAAATCTCAGCATGCCTCTCCTAATTACTCCAACAGGAAAGCATTTAATTATGTAATCAGGATACCCTATTTGACACAGGCACCCATGTACCCCGAACACTAACCTTAACCTGGTTATCTCGCTTTGTTTCTGGACTAGTTAAATATAGCTGCAGACAGACGGATCCGTCTGCGCAAACAGAGAACACGATGTGTGGGAAAGTAACCTGGTGTTGAACCTGTACCATCGCCTTCCCCAGCTGCAAGAAGGGTTGGAGCTGTGCTTTACAGCCTCTTTCTTCCCGATCAGATGCAATTTGTTCATTTGCTGTCATTTACTTGACCAATTTGCCTTCTTCTCTTTGCCTTCTTGTGATTTGTTTCTGAGGGGTATGGCTGAGTTCATGCCACCCTTTCCTTCTACAGACTTATCCTACCCAAGCACAGCTTTTTTTTTTAGGGGACATTAGGTGCAAATAAATCCTATAACAGCCCAGTAAGGAGCGGACAAGCTTTTTTTTCGCCTTAATTCAGCCTGGAGAAGAGGAGGCTGAGGGGAGACCTTATTGGTCTCTACAACTACCTGAAAGGAGGGTGTAGAGAGGTGGGGGTCGGTCTCTTCTCCCAAGTCACAGGCGACAGGACAAGAGGAAATGGCCTCAAGTTACACCAGGGGAGGTTCAGGCTGGATATTAGGAAAAAAATTTTCACTGAAAGGGTTATCAGACGTTGGAATGGGCTGCCCAGGGAGGTGGTTGAGGCACCATCCCTGGAGGTGTTCAAAAGACGGGTTGATGTAGTGCTGGGAGGTATGGTTTAGTGATGGTGATGCTCCTTGTTTGTTGTGCGGGTGTCTATTTTTGTCAGTTAGGTTGAAGGTTGGACAAGATGATCTTTGAGGGCCCTTCCAACCTAGAAGATTCTGTGATTCTGTGATTCTGTGATTACAGCTCTGATCCCAATTAAACAGGGATGCATTGAGCACCTCAGTTTGACCTGCTGTGTTTTATGGGTTTTCCAGGGAGAAAGAGGCATCATGTCATCCCTGGGTGCTAAGTCCTCAGCACCACCGGAGTTCCCCTTAAACATGCTCCTCCTGGGCTGCGTTGCAGGCTCATGTAGGCACAGCCTATGACCCTCCTGGGAGCCCAGCTCTTCCTGGGCATTTTTTGGCTCTGATTAGCATCGGTTAGAAGCTTCCCATTGACCTCAGCATCTCCCGGCCTCCCAGCCCTGCGTGTGCAGGGGCACATCCTTGTCCCCACGAGGAACCCAGCCGCCTCGCTCCGAGAAAACACTGGATTTGCTTGTGCTGGTGCAGGTGGGACTGGTGCCAGCTCTGCAAAGGGAGCTTTGCCCGGCGGAGATTTGCTTGCGAGGAGCAGGAAACGGAGTCTCTTGCTGACGGCAGAGGTCAGGAGCTTGCCGATCACGTTCCCCGTTAGTGTCGTGAGCAGCTGTGGGACTGGTTTGCCTAGCAGCTGAGATGCCAAGGCTGTCCCATCATTCAGGAGAATGCAGTGTTGGAAATGTTACACACGGTGAACTGGTAAAGCACTGGGACACAAGTATGGTAATAAAGACAGATCAGGATGGCACGCAGCTTCCCTCCTCCTTCTTTCATGGTTTGCTTTTTTTTTTTTTTAATTCTTAAATTTTAATTCTATTTCTCCAAAGAGCATGAGGAGGGGAAGGAGTGACTGCTGAACCACTTGTGTTTGGGAGAGGGTGTCTCTGAAAAGTGATGTAGGAGCAAGGACATGGGCAGCCCCGCTTTCACGCTGGTGTGTCCCTCCCTGCAGCTCTGCCACTTTAACTGCTTGTCTGGGGATGATCTTGGGAGAAAACAGCTTTTTATAATAATATAATATCCTTATGTGTGCTTTCTTCTACAGAGGTTTTATACTAGTTCTTGTTTTCTGTTTTTTTTGTGTGCTGTTTTTTCCCTAAGATGGATGTAAAAAGCAATTTACACTGAAATATGTCTGCCTGCAGCTTGTATACAAATCAATTTAATAACAGGAAAACTTTCTGAAAGTACTAATACACACCCGACTGGTTAGCTTTTGCGTTGTTTTGGATGTTTCATGTTCCTCATATTCCCCCATTTATAAAGGACATCTCAACAGGTGTAGAAGGTACATAGCCCAAATTATTAAGCTGGCATTTATATGAAATAATTTATTCAGCTGTGATTATTGATGTAAAAGTAATGGGGCAGTGGAGGGGGAGAAATGCAAGAGGAAGTTCTTTCAGTTCTGCTCCTTGTGGATCCTCTCCTCTGCTCCTTCCCTCCCCTCCTTCCCCGCAGCCCCACACACATCTGGTTCCCTATCAAGAGCCCGTGCCAGCGCAGGATACGACTATCAGTTGTATTTGATCATAGGGGTAACTTCTTGAAATTGTTACTACATTTTTAAATTAACAAAGCAAACAGTGGGAATCAGAGGGTTTGGCAGAGGACAAAGAAACCGCATCTCTCCCTACTCTTAGCTACATGTCATAACAAAACACTGGGCCAGATAATTAAGACAGTTTCTAAAAATGTCCCCATGATAGTTGCCAGGGTATCTGTCTCTCTGAGCATACACATAAGCATATCTGCGAGAATTGCTTTAGTGCCTTTATTTTAAAATAAACTGATTCATTTCTTTTGAAATCCAATGCATCAGCAACAAACACTGCCTTTGCTCCTAAGAAAAACAAGAAAAGTTTTCTTTTCCTTAGGAGACGAGAAATTGTTGTAAGTGTATGTACAGCCAAAAAAAGAAGGTGTCTTCTCCTTTTTGATTTTGTTTGGTATGACATCTGGGTGGGTTTATCTGATTGCAAACTGTTGTGGAGGGGGTTAGCAGGTTACCAACAGGGCACTGCAGGCACGGCTGTGCACGCTGCCAAGACAGTGGTTTAAAGTAACTTAGGACAGCTCAAGTCTAGGAAAGAAGCTTGTAAAACGATATTCTGAGCTATTTCACTTTTCCGATTCCTGCAATTATTTAGTCTTTTCTCAATGTTTCTACAGATGCATTGATATTTCCCTGGATCCAGTGGAAAGACTCCCCTAACTTCAGCAGGCTTCTCAGCAACCCTTAATCCCATAGAAAATGCTGCTACATACTACATACAGTATGTCTTCTGAAAGTAATTTCAAATTCTTGCTGACAATGTCAGAAAAATGGAGAATGAATTTTTAAAAAAATGCATGGTGTATCATATCATCCATAGTATTTCTATGGAATCTTACTAAATAGCATCCTTTATGCCGAGCTTAATGTGTCGTAACACAACTGGCTTTCCAACAGCCAGCTAGTATCATCTCTTAGGAATTTATTATGAGTGTACTATGTCCTATAATATTTTTTATGTCAGGTTGTTAACTGTAGCAACTAGGATGTGTCGAACGCACGTTTGTATATGAAAGATTAATTTCACACTGATGTTTGCCACTCAGAAGGGGGGAAAATGAGTATCATCATCCAATGCTGATTTCAGCGCCTACAAAGGGCTGCAGGAGATAAGATAACAAACATTTATAATGAAGCCTTTTCCAGTTGGGAGGTGACATGAACTCTTACAGTTGCTTTTAGGAAAAGACAAGCTCCCATGTTGCATTTTTTAATGCCCAGCGTACATTTCCTTCTGATCCATCTTTCCGTCTGTCTGCTCGGTTTAATTGCTCCGTCGTGGGTTTTATACTGTGTTTCTCACTGTATTATTTTAATGATCCTTTGACTGAGTCAGACTGGAAGAATCCCATAAACTTTAGCGACACTGTGGGTGATGTAGATGGGCACAGACCAGCCCACAATTCTTCCCGGGGCTCCCAGGGGAAGGCAAGCAGTTTCAAGAGTTGACCTACAAAAACTTGGCGGCGGCGCGAGCCCAGCCTTACAAAAGCAGGCATCAAGGAAGCACCACAGCCAGGTCTCCACCATCCAGCTGATAGGTGGTTTCCAACAGCTTTTCTAGCTTGACCGTGGCCATTCCTACTCGAAAAAGAAAGCGTGAAGCATCTCTGCCAGGCGCCGGTGCCAGGCGGCTCCGCAGAGCGCGCACCGGAGACTGCAGCAGAAACACCAGGAGACAGGAGGGGAAGGACAGCCAGTTAAAACATGTTTTCAATCAGCTTGGCTATTCAGACGGGGAGATGCATGTTACATAAATGGGCTGAGCCAGCCCAGAAATGAAAACACTTTCGGCAAGGGAGCGAAGGAAAGAAAAACAGTTTCACCTGCTGCTCTCCTTAGGCGAGAGCTGCTGACAGAGCAGCGTGCGGCGCCTTGGGTTGGAAGAGGCAGGTAAAGGCAGAGCTGGAGCAGCTGCTGAGCAGCAGGTTTATTTGGGATGCTCCCGACCAGCCACAGTGTTGCATCGGCTCTCCCGGCATTAATGCAATCCCTGTTTGGCTCCAGAGGTGCCTGGGGTGTGCTCCTTAGAGCCAGCATGGTGTCACCAGCCTCAGCTGCAGTGCCCAGCGTAGCTTCATTCCACAGACTTATCTATCAGTTATAACAAGCAACTCTGCAGCATCTATCTGCTTCTAATTGTTTATTTTCACCCATATAATTAAGGAAGCCTGAGAAGAGTGGGATCCACGCTGAAGCACTGGGTCTCATGCCCAGGTGATGGGACAGGGGGGACCCAGAGTGGCTCACACACGTGCTGG